CATCATTTTCCTTGGGAGCATTTTTACAATGTGACAAATTTACATCAACTTCATAAATACTAGTCTGTGTACATTTACAGTAGATATGCCTATATCAGATACCACAACAAAGGAGCAGCACCAGTGTGTGCCTTGTGAAAAAAGACTAAGTTTCATCCCCAATCTCCTTCTACAGGTACTGGAAGAACACTATGTGTGTACTTGTAGCACTGCAGAGCTTCTGATGAGATATCTGAGAAAAGTTTAAGGTTTTGGATAATCTAGCACCTTACAAATTGTTCATTTCTTTGGATGAGTTTTCAAATGCTCTTATTAGTAGTAAATGACTGCCTCTCAAAAGAGCTATCCTTGTTCATTGCTCAGGTTTTAAGTATATGTAGCTATTCATATGTTTGTACCTCAAAGCTGTTCACATGACATACAATAATTTCTGAAACTGAAAATCTACCTCAACCCTACTCTTTCTTTTTAAAATAACTTTTCAGATAATACTATTGATTATCTAACTATAAGAATATTTAATGTATTTGATACAACTTTGATGGTCTATGACTTCTATAAAAAGAAATAACCCATATTTTCTCTAGAAATAAAAAAATAAGTACAATTTTTCCTGTAATTTATTCCTATTCAATTTCTGAAAAAGAATGTCTGTGAATTTAGTAGAAAACAAGGAGGGGTATATGGGATGGTTTGTAGGGAGGGAAGGGAAGAGACAAATGTAATATTATAACCTCAAAAATAAAAGAAATATCAATTTAAAAAGAACCAAGAAATAAACATCAGTTTGAACATATGCAGAAACCTAGATTATGAACTCCATCTGAAGAAAATGAGGTTCCTTTTTATTATTATATTACCAAGAACATGGTTCAAGCATCATTTTCATTGTCTCTAGAGCTAATTGACTATGTATGGTACTTATGCTGTTACAGTCTTGGCCCTAGTGCTATGCGTCCAGCTATAAAGTGTGGACTTGGAATCACTATAGAACAATCCTTCCCTGCTTGGCTAGTTATCTACAGCATAACAGCTGTTCTATCTCCAATATTTCCTTAAAGTATCTCTTCACACAGGCCTTGCGTCAGAATTTGTAACAGCTTTTCATAAGCAATCACAATTTTAAAGAATTGAATTGTGATTGACATAAGATAAAATTCATAGACCTCAAGTGATCATATCAATGAATTTTAACAAATGCCTACACTTGTGTATCTACCAAGACAAGATAAAATATATTCCTTTACCCTGTAAAGTCCACCCATTTCTCCTTTCCAATAAATGTTCTCTTCACTTCTCCCGTAAGAAATATACAGTTTCTGGCTTATATCACTGCACTGTAGTATGCTGCTCTTGTACTTTTGTAGAATCACATGGTAAATATTACTTTGCGTTTGGCTTCCTTCAATGACTGTAACCCTATGGGTTCTCTCATGGTGTGCATCTTTAGTTTTCTCTTTTGTTTGATGGGTAGAATCTACTTATGGGAAGACACTAGTTTATCCAACATCACCTGTTAAAGGGATTTGGGTTGTTTCCAGTCATTGTTAGTATGGATAAGACTACTCCAAACATTTTTGCACATGACTTCCTTCAAGTATATGTTTATATATATTGAAGAACTACGTAGGAGTAGAATTGATATTGACATTGATTTTTCACTTTATTGGAAACTTTCCCAATGTAATAGCACAATTATGTTCTCTCATCATTAATGTTTAATCATGATAATTATGTTTGATCAATTTCCATTTTTTTATGCAAGAAGTTTCAATTTTGTAAATTAAATGTATGTCTTAATTTAGGATTTCTATTGCTGTGATAAAACACCTGAATCACAGTCTGTAGAGTGATGTCAGAGCAGGAACTCAATCAAGGCAGAAACCTGGGGGCTGAAACTGATGCAGAGGCCATAAAGAAGTGTTGCTTACTGCCTTGCTTCCCATCATTTGCTCATTCTGCTTTCATATAGTATCCAAGGCCACCAACCCAGGAGTGGTACCACCTGCAGGGACATGAGGACGTTCATATCAATCACTAATTAAGAAAATGACCTTCCAGCTTGCCCACACTTGGATTTTATGAGGGGAATTTCTCAATTGACGTTCTCTCCTCCCAGATGTCATTAGTTTGTGTTGTCTAGTTAACATTAAACTAGCCAGAATGAAGTATAAATCAAAAACAGAACATAAAAAAAGTGTCACAATGTGGGCTATGTGTATGCTTCAGAATTTGAGCCTTCCCCTAGCATGAGGTCATTTGTTTGGTCCCTTGGACCACAGAAGTCATCATAACCTAAATTATTATCACTCCTATAATGTCCAGTATATTTTAAATCAGGATGTTTTGGTATCTGAACCATCAATCCTATGGGTATAAGTTGTACTTTCATTCAGGTTTCTCTGTGTGGTAGAATTCAATTGGTGTACTGAGAGAACAAAACCCAAAGTACTCCACAATATTATTTACCCACTTATTCTTTCTGTGCACACAGTCAAAGTGAAACACTATCATGAAGAACATTTTGCATTTTGCTCCTTGCACTTTTCTAGTTCTCTCTTGTATGGTTCCTTACAGTGTTTAACAGATAAAGCTGGTGTAATTATTTCCTGTTATTTCATATTTTATGTTAATTTACTTTGACTCAGAAATATTTAATTTCTTATTTTACCTTTTTTGATCTTAAAGTCATAGTCAGATCTTGTTAATTAAAATCTTCAACATTTAATTTAATTTTATTAAGTACAAAAATACACCTGATTAAATAGTAGTTACATGTATTTAGTTTATTAAATAGTTACATTAGTAATGAAGAACTAGATAATGAGAAATGTGGCTGAAATTTTCTTAATTGTTAGAAGACAAATTTTATCACATATAAACACATACACACAAACTCTCTTTCTCTTTTGCACATGCACACATTCACAGGCACACACACTCACACACACACACAAACATACATACACACACAAACATACATACAAATGTTCATGTGAGAAAATAAGGACCATACTTTCCAAATTATTTTCTTTGCAGTACCTCATTCCCATCATTATTTTGGCCTATTTATGAGAATTTAGAAGTGAACTTGTCACCAAATAGTATGCATTGTTGCAAGTCACGAATGATTTTACTGTTTTCAACTAAGCTTTTATTGATTGTCCTATAAATTATACAACCCCAATCCTTCACAATTTCCCAAGTACAGAATCAAAATAACATTAGTTTCATGTTTTAAGTAAATGATTGCATGGTCTGTGAGACTATTCTTCAGGAGATATGAACAACAGTCTACTCACCTCAGGTAGGGAACTGATAATAGACCAAAATAAGGATACAACCAAAGATCAATTTGATGAACCAATAAATTTTATTACTGTTTTATTGTAGTTGTTGGCAAAAAAGTCTCAAATGACAGCAGCCTTAGCAAAGCCCACTCCAGCATGGGTAATAATAGCTCATGAAAACTGAAAAGCTAACGCACACTCCACAACCTGCAGACAGCATAACAGACTGGAGAGTATCCTTTCCCAATGACTAAACCTCATTCAGGTACCTTGGCTCGTTTCTACTTCTTCCAGGCAGCTGATCTGGTCCCAGTGTCTTTGCAGCTTGACTTCAGAACTCTTTATTACTTTGGTCAGGAGACATCTAATGAATCTGGTTAGAGTTGTTTACTTTCTAAGCTTAAGGAGAGATGTTCTACTTCTCTGGAACATCTTGTTACTTCACCTCCCTTTTAGCATTCTAGGTGTTAATGAGTTTCCTTTCAACACAGAAGAGACAAAACTGCTACACACAACACCTTACTTAATCAGTTAAACTACTACTTTTCAGCTTAATGTCAGGGAACAACAGCTACCTATCAGTAATAACATTTAAACTGTGATGATCAATGACAACATGCATACACAGGCAACAAGTAGAGTGAGTTTTAGTGTGTGTATATGCATCCTTAACTGTCCTTACAATCTTGATAAGCTCTAAAGGAGAAAATGTAAGTGACTATTTTACCCCGATTTTTTGGTCCAATCATTTTTGTTAGAATATCAACACTCTATATGCTAAAGAAGAGCTTGTATGCTTCAAATGTCAAGAAAATTCCTCATTTAGACATCTCAATAGTAGCATACATAGCATAATATAAAGGAAAAGTGAAGGAAAAAAGTAGTATATAAATAATAAAAGTTTACAACACATGTTATTGTTATATCTACTTGGAGATCTAGGTTTTAATTCCACTTAAGCTCTCAGCCTGCAAGATTATGTTAATATGCAGGGACACTACTCTTCAGAGAAATATACATCAAAAGTCATGCCTTCTTGCAGGAGACGACAGACAGAATTCAGTGGGTAGTTGAGCAGTGTACATGCCTTCTAGGAACTATGCTATTTAGCCCCTTTATTTTACTTTGAACCCAACTCACAGGTAAAATGGATCAAAAAGCATATGCAGATGATCATAAAACTGCCCTGTCTTAAAATGTGTCTCTTTTATCAAGTCTAAAAGCACAGTTCACAGGACCGTCTCAAGAGATATGTGCACATGTAAAAGTTGCTGCATTGAGGCAAACCCAATATTAAAGTTTGAAATGAGACATTTACAGTATTTTTAGTTCAGAGGCAATATGTCAGCCAAGTTCATTTTTACCAAAGTAGTGTTACTAAGCAACATTGTCACATATCATCTTATCCAATCACCCAGGAAACAGAATCCAAAACTAAAGCTAGTTTAAAGCCTCACACAAGATGAATATGTTTGTACATGCCCGTGAAACCAGAACTTGAGAGGCTAAGGCAGATGGATTACAAGTTCAAGGCCAGGCTAAAATAAACAGTGAGACTTAACGTCATAAAACTAAACAAAACAATTTGTCACAGAAAGGGGGATGAGATTGTTTTAATGTGTCCGAAGTCACTTGCAAAATCATGAAACAAAATAGTTGTGCCTTTTATAAGTTATTATTTTATAATTCTCCATTGCTTTCATCCCCTAGAGTTGATGTACACTGTTGAACTTGCTGGAGGGCTTGGCGCTATTCTCTTGCTGCTCGTCTGTTCGGTGACCATATATAAATGTTACAAGATAGAAATCATGCTCTTCTACAGGAATCATTTTGGAGCTGAGGAACTGGATGGAGGTAGGATGATTTCCCTGTGTTATTGTTGCTTCTGAATATACTTACTTGTGTCTTGCTTCTATTTAATCAAGCAAAAGAAAAGTTATGTGTATCTTTGCAAGATCATTTCTGTATGGAAATACATGTAGTGATCTAGAAGCAATAGGTAGTTTTCTTGGCAAGTTACACCTACCCTTTTTAGACTTGTATTCCAAACAGCGCTTACACATTACAGATGCTGATTGCAATGCCATTGGTATGTTCCTTTTTTCTCACCTTGTAGTCAGCACTGAAAGGCCAGCTTCACTTTTCTATAGATAAGGTGTTTCTCTTTTAATTGTCTTCCCAAGTGGAGCAGTTTGAAGTGAATTTCAATTTGTTCTTATTTAGATGGATAGCTGTTTTATTAACTTGTACTGACTATTTTAGCATTCTTCCAAGAGGCTCTTCAGTATAGTCCATCTCTCTATTTTTAGATGCTAGGCTCATGTCTGTCATTCCAAGGGTAGACCAATGGAAAATGTATAGGCCTACATTGTTTTTTATAATAGCACATCTAACACCTTTGTTCATATTGAACAAGTAAACTGTGTTTATAGAAACAGTAATTATCATTTGCCTCAAGCCATCCAAAAATATGTGTACATTCTGAATAGAATCTAGGGTTTATGAAATTGACCTCCAAACACCATCCATTAGTGAACTTCAAGGTATTTTGTGTTCCTTTGGGGTCACTTGGAAAATGTAAGTTAAACTTGCAAAATACATAGCACTTGAAAAGTGTCAAGAGTAGTGTAAATTATTTCGGTTTCTCAATTCTGTTGATAAGCATTTCTCTTTGTCAGTTTTACATTAAGTAGTGCGAAAGAAAATCAAAATTTGTGCCTGTTTCCATTGGGTCCATAGTCAGAGCTGTCAGTTGTCAAACTTGTAAAAAGGAATGGTTTATTGGTATTTCCCAACATCCTCTCCATTTACTCTTCTCCTGTTGCCACTAACGAAAGGGACATGCTGCAGAATCATTATTGTTTTGTGGATTTTCTTTGTTATTATTAAATTATTTTATTTATTTACATTCCAAATGTTGCCTCCTCTTCCTGGTCCCACCCCCAGAGTTCTTTACCCCATCCCTCCTCCCCTCTGGCTCTGAAAGTGTGCTCTCCCACCCAGCCACTCCCCCACCCACCTAGTCTCACAGCTGCCATCACCCCCAGTATCCCCCTTTCCTGGCTCATCAAGTCTCTCTCTACAGGATTAGGCATATCCTCTCCCACCGAGGCCAGACAAGACAACCCTCTGCTACATGCTTAGCTGGGTCTATGGACCATCTCATATTTGCTCTGTGGTTGGTGGCTTAGTCTCTGTGAGCTTTGAGGGATCTGATAAGTTGATATTGTTGTTCTTCCTATGGAGTTGCCAATCCTTTCAGCTCCTTCAGTCCTTTCTCTAACTCCTCTATAGGGTCCCTGACCTCAATCTAATGGTTGGCTGGCTATAAGTATCTGCAACTGTGTAAGTCAGCTGCTGGTAGAGCCTCTCTGAGGACTGCCATGCTAGGCTCCTGTCTGCAAGGAGGAGTTTTCTTAAAGTGATTATGTTTCTTAGTTGTTCTTTGTTTCCCATTTCCTTCCCTGTTCACATAAATTAGTATATTCTGGTTATGTCAAGAATATACAAGAAAACTGTTAATGTCAGAACTACTGTTGGATGAGAACAACAATCTGTGTGCCATACATCCTAAAATTATTCCTACTAAACCTCATAAAAGTTCAGTATTATCTGCACTTCATTGATAAGGTAACTGAGCCTCCCAAAAGTCAAATAATTCTTATATTTGTATAGAATTTCTAATTTCCAAGGCTTTATATTTTATACAAAACTTATATAGAAGATTTGATTAATCCCAGAAATCTTGAATTACTTCTCAATAAACTACTTTGTAATAAAAATATATTAATTAAAAATAATAAATACATGAGTAAACAAGTTGAATAATTCATTTAAAATGATAATTCAAGTATTGCTGCAAATGGCCAAGTAGAAATATAAAAGAAATCTATTTCCAAATCCTTTATCGTCTGTTAACAAGTCTACATTATTTTTAAAATTTAATACACACAACATAATCTGAATACATGCTGTTATTTGTGCAATTAGAAGTTGATGATTTTTGAAAAGGCAGTTTATCTAAACAATCTCACATTATCTATTACCTTGCTTTAAATATCTTTATTTTGTTCTGAATGATATGAATGATTTTACCCAAGCAATCAATTTCCAGTGCAGGCTTCATCTGTCATTTTCTGAATGTAGAAAATGACAGAATTTAATTTTTTTAAAAAAAAAAGCAGAACCACAATCAGTTGAATTTCTGTAATTTTAAATTTATTTTGAGGAACCTTGCTACCTATGCACACTTGAGTAGGCTATTTGTATAAGCCAAATGGATTTCATTGCTATTCTGAAGCTATTTGGGTCCTCATTTTTTTGTGTGTTGTTTCAGGTGAGAAGACAAAGCAGAGAAACAGTAACAAACAATATTGTAACAAGCTAAAATTTCCCTCAGAAAGCTAATTTAGTTTATAAATGCCTTAAGATTTGTTAAAGCCTGTCCTTCAGGCTATCTTGAGCATAATCAGGTATATAAGTACTAGGGCTTTCTTTGAGATGCTCCTGTGAATGCAATAAGCCTAAAGAAAGCCACGGTAATAAACTCAATTATCATCTGCATAAGATTAATGTGCACATAATATTGCTAAAGAAAAAAAGATAGCAAAGACTGCTAAGGCAGAGAACATTGAAATGGTTTTATGAGAAGTTCATTCTGCAAGTGCAGTGATCCTCTTGGAATTAAAACAGACCTGCTCCTGCTGAGATGGTGACCAAGAGCCCATCCTTAAGTAATCCACCTTACCACAATGGACCTGACTTGTACAACTTCTAGAAACACTGTTTTATAGGGCACCTTTTCTAGAAATATTAAGAATGTAAGAAGTTTGGTGCTAGAGACATGGCTCAGTGGTATAGAGTACTGGCTGCTCTTACAGAAGACCGAGCCTGAGTTCCCAGAACTAGCATGGTGGCTTCTTGAGAAAAAGGACATAAATCCTTACTCTCACTGATTCTTCCTCAAAACACAGGTTTTTCCATCTATCATCCCTTCTGCTCCCTGATGCCCAGAAACTCTGATGCCCATCCCCTTCTCAGAAACCCATACAATTGCCTAATCTTAGAGACATTCCTTCATTTCTTATTACTGATCTAGAGATAGAAAACACTTTGTAAAATATAAAAGCCCTATATTCCTAGCTCCCCACTGTCATTTACCTTTTCCAAAAGAGATGATTGGTAACAGAAATGCCGAGCCTTTGAGAAGTTTTTGACTTTTAAAGATGCATACTTCCATAATAAAAGGCGAAGCCAATTTTTTTGTTTTTCTCTTTTATCCTTAGCCATTTTATCAGTATATTGATTCTAAAAAAAGGAAATTTAAAATACTCTTGAAAGCAAAAATAAGGAAAGAATATAAAAAGAATGTGGAAATAAAGATTAGCTGCAGGATGAGTGGTACATAGCTCAGGGGTAGAACACATGTCTAGCACACATCAGGCACTGGGTTCCATCTCAATCACTGAAGGAAAAAAAAGGTTTACTAGGCTTTTGAAGATTTATTATTTTACTTTTATTTTAAAACATACAACATGAAAGAATTTTAACCCAAGTCCAAATGATTCCCATTCCAAAATTGTATCTAATGTAAAAGATAAGAAAGTAGAGAATGTAGTATCAGGAACCCATTCAGCCAATTTTTTCAAGTCATAACAGTAAGTATTTCCAGATTCTAATCCGTCTTATATCACAAAGATTCTGATACAGAAGGATTATATTGAGGTGTTTTTTTTTCTCAGATAGAATATATTCCTGCTTTACTTTCTCTTTTTCTCTCCAACGCAGCTTTAAATGAATTGCAGATGTGTTGTTACCTGGAGTCAAGCCTTGTCACTTTTTTTTTTTAACTTTATAGCTCCCAGCTTTTGGGGGTCATGCTTATTGGACTATTGTCAATTGTGTTTGTAAACACATAATTGTTAAATCTCAATATCCTGCATACAGTTCTGTTGGTTTAGTATTACTTTTGTTATTATATATTGACTACTTCTATGATGTTAAATATTAATCCTGGGTTTTCTATTCCCTGCTTCTTCTGCTCTTTATCATTCTTTCTAGTCCCCAATTCTTCTTGGTACAGTCTATGTCAATGGACATACTTTTTTCCTAAATTATCATCAAAGCCAGTCAATACCACCTCATGCCAATCAACATTTTCCCTTAATTTCAATGCTTTTTCTAAGTCTCCTTCACTATCTTCTTGCCTTTATAGTATACGTGTCTACATTATCCTTTACACTCTCCATAATTCTCTTTCTAAATACAAAATAACTGTGACTTCTTTTTCTCAAGCACCAAACAATAGAAATGCCCCATTTTTCCTACTAGAGCAAGTCTGGCCATCCTAACTTAGAAAGTAATTGCTATCAAATGGTAGATTAAATCATGTGTGTAACATTGCCACTCTTGTATGATCAGTTCTCTTGAAAGGATGATGACATGTTACTTCTTGGTCCAAGACAGCTATTCAAAATGAGCCTAAGGTAATGTAATTATGCAACACTCTCGGGTTATTGTAGCTAAATCTTCTATCTGTAAGGTTAGAAGTTAGATGAGTCGTTTATCTAATCCCCCACTACCATTATTCCAGAATAAAATGAAACTTTATAAGAATTGTTATATTGACTTTAAAAATATAGACATACACTGAACCTGGTGGTGCAGACCTTTAGCCCCATCACTTAGGAGGAAGAAGCTATCAGGTCTCTGTGAGTTTGAGGACAGCTAATCTACATAGCAAGTTCTAGACAAGTTACCAATACACAGTGAGACCCTGTCTCAAAAAGAAAACAAACAAATATTTAAAGAAGTTTGAATCCTGGAAATGAGTGTGTATTGAATGTGTATATGTA